AACACACAAAATGATTATTTTAGTTTAATAATGTCTATTTTATAATTATAATCTCAAAAAAGAATGAATAAAGAAGTATTTTATAGTAAGAAGTAGAAAACTGTTAGGTGATTGGGCGAGGTGAGCCTCAAAGGGCGCCTTGTCGCCTTGACAACTATGGTGTAAGCTGAAACTCTGTCACCACCTGCCACTACCTAAGCAGATCATTGATATAAACCCCTTGAAAAGCTCCACATATCACAACCCAGTGAGCTACCCTTACTTTTGTAAGTTCAAACACTTCCTCTACAGGTTTGCATTTTTCTTCAAAAATCTTCGCATTTCTTTCACACCATAAAACCCATAGAATTGCACTGCGAATGCATTGCCAAACAATCTTTTGTCTTTGAGTGGAGCCACCATAAACATCTGATTTGAATGGATCTACTACTGCACCTGGTGCCACCCAAGTTTTTCCAAACAGCAAGAGGAAAAGCTGCCATAGTCTAGAAGCATAGGGACATTGTAACAGCAGATGGTTAGTATTTCCCCCGCTCTTCAAGCAAAGAGCACACACATGAGGAGAGAGAGCCCAGTGTTTCCATTTCCTTTGGAGCCCCTCATGGGTGTTGATGATTTGGTTAACAGCCTCCCAACAAAAAACCTTTACTTTAGGGGGAATCTGGCAACACCATACCTCTTTAACTAGGAAAGGTGGAGCTTCTGTAATGAGAAGTAAGGATTGAAAAAAGGAGGCACACGTGAAATAACTATTTGATTGCAAGTTTCAACATTATGCGTTGCTTACTAATTTGATATATTACTAATAACTATAGAGATAATATTGGTATTGATTGTTATGGCATTTTTTAGATAATAGTTAAAAAGGAAAATTTATTAAGAAAGAAAAAGAAGGGAATGCAAGAAAAGTGATAAGATATCACCTTTGAGCATACACACATGTTCCGAAATCTTTCCCTGTAACTGACCCGATTGCCCTCCCATCCATAGCTACAACACTCCCCTCACATCTATCTCCACCTCTTTCTTATCGCCAATTTCCTGTCTCTTTGCCTCCTCCCGACTCCTCTTAAAATCAGAAACTTTTTCAACACAAGCGCTTCCCCACCTCCAACTTTGATTCCTTCCCTTCCCTGAACCTCCTTCAACCTCCCACTTGAAACTTCCTTTTCTGCTGGAACCTCTACTTCGTGTTTTTTTCCAATTCGTATGCATGCTGATTGGCATATTAAACTATGAAACTAACCTAAGATCATGGTTCGAAGTCTCGGTACTCTCAATGCACAAGTTTTGCATATTGAGAGCTTTGGGTTTTCCAAACTATTATTGTTGTAGTTGTTATTTTGGTCTGACCTTCACAGTGGACTTGTCACATCATCTTTTAACCTTTAAAAATGTTCAAACCCCCAAATTCCTTTTATAAACCATGTTTGTGACCCTTAGATACAATATGATACACCTGATACAGGGTGTATCATATCGATACTTTGAACCTCACCTAAAATGTATTTTTTTTAATGTTGTAAAATTCTATCACTAGGTGATGCCTAGTCAACTCTAGTAGGTGCTTCACTGTTGCCTAGATTCGCTCAAGTCTGCTTCTTAGATCCAGGGGCTAATTTTTGGGGTGTAGTCAAATTACAATTTTGTAATTGTTAGAGTCCCTTTTGACTTGTTTTTCCTTGGTTTAATCTTAACACCTGAGTAGATTGTAATCTCCTTTTTCTTTTTAATGAAATTTGCTTTTTACTATTAAAAGAAAACTACGATTCAAAATGTAATGGAGGTTAGTTCCATATCTAGTCCACCCCTCACAAGACCCTGGGTAGTCAGGGCCAAGATTGGGAAATGGCTCTTTATTGTTATGGCATGCATCCGAAAAATTAAACTTGATTGCTGGTAAATGGTTGTTTTTGTCCTTTTTTGTGTAATCAGACACTGAGCACTAATGACCAACAGGTTTCAGCTGAGATGGATTTTTCTTGTGACTTAACTATGTGACTGGATTGCTGCAACATTTGTGTGCTGGTCTGCAATCCTAGATTTGGTCATGCAGTCTGATCTAGAAAAAGGGCTGGAAACACATACTGCAAGATGCTGTCTAGAGAAAAATACAGGCAGAAATATATTCTTGCATTATTATAAACTTGGGTTGAAATATGAAGTTTATGAGTCTAGTATATCGTGTAATGTGCTAAACCTAGCATCGATTTAAGATGATTTCTGTGGGTGTTATTGGTGTTTCTTGTCTTTACATATTATTTAATTGTGGATGATTTTCTGATTTCATTCTTGTCAGCTGAAACACATCCTGCAAGATGCTGGCTAGAGAAAAATATGGGCAGAAATATGTTATTGCATTAATATAAACATGGGTTGAACTATGAAGTTTATGAATCTAGTATATCGTGTGCTAAACCTAGTTTCAATTTCAATTGATTTTTGAGGGTGTTATGGTGTTTTTTGTCCTTCCATATTATTTGATTGTGGATGATTTTCTGATTTCATTCTTATCTGCTGAATTTGATGCCATTATTTTGCCTTTTCACTTTGCATTGAACCCCCCCTTTTGTTCAAATAATTTGGTAATGGATGTTTATTATTATTAAGCTCAACTTTTTCTTTATGAATGAAGAATATCAAACATCAATTGAAACAATTCTTTGCCCAATGTTCAGGTGGCAAAGGAGAGTGCTGATGTCATAATACTTGATGATAATTTCTCCACAATTGTGACTGTGGCCAAATGGGGGCGTTCAGTTTACATAAACATTCAAAAATTTGTTCAGTTTCAACTGACTGTTAATGTGGTTGCCCTAATAGTTAATTTTTCATCTGCATGCTTGACAGGTAAAAGCAAACCCATGCACATATTTACCATTTCAACCTTTGCAGTCTCTTTTTCAAGAAAGTCTATGCTTGTGATCTCTTTTTAGTTTCAATCTTTTATTTTTTTGTCCTTTTTTTTCTGAACTTTTGGTAATGAATGCTCCAGGGAATGCTCCTCTCACAGCTGTTCAACTTTTGTGGGTGAACATGATTATGGATACACTGGGAGCACTTGCACTTGCTACCGAACCTCCCAATGGTGAGTTAATGAGGAGATCACCAGTCGGAAGGAAAGGGAATTTTATCAGTAATGTGATGTGGAGGAATATCTTAGGACAAGCCTTGTATCAATTTGTTGTCATATGGTATCTTCAAGCACAAGGAAAACCATTGTTTCATCTTGATGGCCCTGATTCTGATCTGGTTCTGAACACACTGATTTTTAACTCATTCGTCTTTTGTCAGGTAATTTTAAGCTGTCTCAATGCTTTCTTTTTATAACTTTTCTGAACTATGTTTCAAGTAGATTCTTGTCTTTGGGTGGTAAGCCAATGTTGTTGAATGCTAGATAACAGCAGCAGTTTGATTACTTTTAGTTGTAACACTATTTGGTGGTTCGCCAAGAGGTGGTTATTGTCTTCCATCACCAATCTGTTTATCTATTTGGTATCTCGTTGCTAGCCTTTTGCCCAAAAATTATGCTAATGATGGACAGGGCCATGATACTGGATACGCAGAATGCAATGAGCTGCAGTGGAGCTATAGTATATAGGTTTTCATTTTCATTTAAAATCAAGGGGCAATTTTGTGCTGCAGGTACAGATGGCTGAATTGAGACAGCTAGGTGGCTGGTCATGAATCAGTCTTCAACAGGTCAGGGGGGGGGGGCAAATAAAGGTGAAAACCAAAATGATTGGTTAGGGTAAACTTAGGGTTCAAGAGGTCAATTAAATTTAGCAAGATGTTGGGTGATTTTAATATTTTATAGGTTTTAGTTAGATATCGATCAAGGCATCTCAGTAGGGCTAATCAGATAATTAGGGTTGCAAATGGATTGGTTGGGTTGGATGCAGGAAGGTTTAAAATATTGATATACATGATAGAGAAATGTTGTGTATCATGTGTTTTGACCAGTGAATCCCCTAAGTTTTAAAATATTAACTTTTTCAGTTTTATATTTAGATAAGAGATAAGCTTGTTAGGATGAATCCCCTAACTCTCAGCATTTTGCATTTTGGTGGCCATCTATACTGATACGATACATGTCAATACTTTGAGCCTTTGAATGCAGGTTGAAGGCTAACCCATCCACTAACCACCTACATCCATTTGTAATCCGAATTTCTAATATCTATATGGATAATGGGTTGCAACCTACTTTGACCCACTTACCCAAAGTTAACAATTCTCTTTCTCTCTCTCTTTCTCTCTCTCTCTCTCTCTCTCTCTCTCTCTCTCTCTCTCTCTCTCTCTTACACACACATGCAAAGTGCAAAGAATTCTTTCATAGATGGCATAATCAAGTTGGGTCAACCTATAGACCCAATATTGATCAGTTAGTGATTTAAAAGGCGTGCCTAGGTGCACACGTGAGGCGCAATTTGGGGTATGTGTCTCACCCAGGTCCTAGGTGCCCCTTTCAAAAGGCACACGCTTGATGCGCCTCAGCCCAGGCTTGCACCTTTTTAAATATTTGTGGTTTTTGCCTCTTTTTGAGTCTAACGGCTGGGCCAGGGGCTCTGCCCTCGGACCCCTGACCACACCCCTCAACCCAGGCATGGGCCTTTTTAAAATTTTGCGCACCGGAGCTCCGAGAACCCCCTATTTACTAATGTTGTTCATTTATTCATTCCAATAAAATATCTTCTTAAAAGGCAATTAAAGTTATAAAATCATTATTTTTCATGTGAGAAATAAGAATTTCAAACCCTAACATAGACTTGTTCGGGCTTGCCTCGAGGGACGTGGTACAAAGGCTACTCATAGAATCAAGAATGCAATATGTTTTACATCACACTAGCTACTTGAAGCAATGCAATTAAGGATGTTTATGCAAAAAGAGATCATGGGTTTTACATGCTTGAAAATGCTTTATATCTTTGCTTTTATTTTTAAATTTTCATTTCAATACGCTTTACATGTTATGTTTATGTATTTTAATTTTAGATAATTGGTTTTTTAAAACATTTATTTTAAAATTTATGTTTATATTTTTATTAACATTATGTTTAATATTTTTTTGAATTTTTTCGCATTTTTTAAATTTTTTGGCATTTTTTTTGAATTTTCTGACTTTTCTTTGATTTTTTAGCTTTTTTTTGTAGTTTAGTGCCTTTCTTAAAAAGGCATGCGTCTCACCTTGAACCATGCACCCTAGGTGCAAATTGGCCCTTGCGCTTTTAAAACACTAGATCAGTTAAAAAGTTCCAAGTCATGTGTTGTTTGGTCTCCTAATCCTAAAGGGATTTATTTTTCTTGTGCTTCCTTTTTCTCTCGTTTGTGTTCTCCTTCCTTCCAGCTTTATCCCCTCCAAAGTAATTTGGTGTAGACCTTTTCACCTTAAAGTTGGTGCGTTTTGTTCGAAAGTTTTCTATGGGAAGATTAATACTTCGGATAACTTATAAAAGAGAAGGCCTCTTCTTTGCTTGTCTCCAAACTGATGCATTCTTTACAAAGCTAATGGAGATGATTATTATTGCATACTAATCTCCTGTCCATTTGTTACAGGTATTTGGGAAAGGTTTTTCTCTTTGTTTGGGTGCAGGTGGACCTTGCCTTTGGTGCTGAATAGGCTTTTTGACATGTCTATATGGCCCAAGAGAAGGGGGAGAGTTCTTCAGATATGTACTAGGGCAGCAATGGTTAGAGACTCAGAGGATTAAGGGCCTACTTCATTAAGCTGAGCCATCTGTTATTGTCACTGTCAATACTGGGACCATTCATATGGCTGTGAGCTTCTTGGCCATCTCAGATTCTCATGTGGAAATGATGCTGCCACAGTTGTCCAATCGGTGGGTTCTGGGCAATTCTAACAAGGCTGGATTTTAGTCAAGTCTGGAGTTTCACAACTACATCAGAGGTGGTTGTGCCAACACTGGACATGGAGGAGACACCATCATAGCTATCAATGACAAGGTAGTTTCCATAGCAACTAATTGAAGAGGTATCGATGGCAAGGGTTGGGATTATTCATCAATCGCATAGGGGCATCTGAAAATGCTGCCTTCGTTTACTATGCTGGCGTCACGGAGGAGGGAGACAAAAAGCTGTAGAATAGATCTGTTTGAACCCTAAACCTAAATGATGACCCTATTGATACCCTTGACCCAACTGACCCTAACTCTATGTGACCCAAATTGGTTACTTGACCAATATGGACTTGCCTGTTAAATGGTTGGATTTGGATGGGTTGGGTGGGTCAAAAATTGCCATCCTTAGTTTTGAGATTTGAAACAGAAAACAGCTGCTGGAAACAATGCTTTAAAGTGACAAATTGAATCTTGCAAGTCTGGTCAAAGAGGGTACAATTGAAGGGAAGAGGTAATGTAGCTGGACTGTGTAAGCATAAGAATCGGAAGCCCAAAGTAGCAATAATAATAAAGTTGAGAAATAAAGAGAAGGTGGAGATTAATGTGCATCAAGGGTTAGAATGCATAAAATCTCCACCAAATGATGGAATCTCTCCAACAACATAGCGGCAATATAGCATACAAGGAAGGGGTCTTATGGAACAGATATGTAGGCGAAAGAAGGATTAAAGGAAAGGTGATATGAGTTCATTATGGAACAGATATGTGGATTGAGAGAGAATTTTGGCAAGAGGAAACTAGCACAACAGAAGGGAGAAACAATAATATCTCATTGGCAGAGTGGGAAGTATTGTTTAGAAGGACCAAGGGGGATTGGGTATAGGAATTATCGAAAAGAAATATTAAGGCCTTGTTAAGGAAATGGTTATGTAGGTTGCCTATTGAGAGAAAGAAGTTGTGTCATAGAGTGGTGGTGACTATTCATGGGCTGATGACTAATGGGTGGGATGCTGGCTTATCCTCAAGGGCCTTGTCATTTCCTTGGAAGGGTATCCACAATATTCTTTCCTTATTCTTTCCTTGTTCCTAAATTCCATCATTTACGATGTTTGCTCTGGAAATAAAATCCTCTTGAGAAGACTTGTGGGCAGGGGAAGTCCCTCTTAAAGACCGTTTCTCCTTTTTTTTTTTCAATCACTACCTTTAAAGAGGAGTATATATCTAAGTTTGTTTTAATTTCATCTTCACATGTTGGCTTGATTGGGATTTGGGTTTAAAAAGAGGTATTAGGGACTTACCCTACTGTCCTAAACTTGCTAAAATTCCTGGAAGGGGTTTAGTCTGATCCTCAAAACCCTAATGGTCGTATTTAGTCTTCTCATCTAATGAATTCTTTCTCATGTACCTTCTTTTGAGTTCTTTGCCCTCCATCTACTTTGTGCAGGCCTTTCTTGTAAAAAAGGTTTGGTGTACTCCTGTTCCTTCCAGGATTAAACCTTTTTGTTGGGAGATGTTCCATAAGAAGATCAATACAATGGATATTTTTAGAAGAGAACTAATTGGTGCATCATTTGCAAAGCTAATGGTGAGACCTACCATTACTGATTTGTTGTTCATTTGTTATTTGTACTTGGTAATGGTTTCTCTCTTTATTTGGGTGCAAATAGATGCCTCGTTATGATGTGCCTAGCTCATTCATCTTGTCAACCTTTACATGGCCAAAGAAAAGCGGGAAAATAATGTGGAGAACTGGAGGTGCACTACTGCAGCAATTATTAGAACAATTTGGGAAGAAAGAAATACAAGAATCTTCAAGGAGCAAGAATGAAATAATGAGGCTGTAATTGAGTGCATTGCTGTAAGGGTAACCTTGACAATTTGGGACCATCTGGAACGGAAGGTGTCTGTAGAGATGAGGGAGGCCAAGTAAGGGCATTGTTCTTGGGTCCAATTGGAATTTGGGACTCTTTAAGAGCAGAACTACTGGCTCAGTGGCTGTTATCCAAGGGGTGCAGATGACAAAGGATATGAACTTTAATAATTAAAAGAGGATTCAAAGTGGTGATCAGTTGGATGAAGAACAATGAAAGAGTTTTGTGGTGCTACAAAAATGAAACTCGAAAGTTTAATGGTTGACAAGAAATTCTCAAATAGAAATTCAATGGGTACATAGGTCAGCTAATAGCATTAATGGTGCATTAACCAAACAAGGGGATACTAGAGAAGAATTGTATTAAGCAAAGTTGTAAAGTGTTGATGTAGTTGGGAGAGTGGTAGATGACCTAACCTCCCCTAGGGACATCTACGAGCTTTGTAACATTTTCTGTTTATAACTAAAAAATATGAGTTGTCAAAAAAAAGTATCTCACTGGCACTGACCAAAGCAAACGTCGACTTGTACAATCAATATACCAAAGTATGGCACTTGCAATACTGTTTATAGGCTGCAGCATGGTTAGATAGAGTTGAGGCTTCTTAGTTTTTCTTTTTATCAATAAAGAAGAATTTATTAATTCAAAAGATCAAAGCAATACAAGCTTCCCAAAGAGAGGCATGAGTTGCGTCCTCTCTAATAACAAATGTTAAAAAATAAAGCAAGTTACAAATGAGCCCAAAACAAATGCTCCCTATTTACCCCTTTCTTGGAAAACAATCAACCAAGGCATTAGCCGCCCTTCCTTGTATTCATATTCTATGTGCTATTGAATATCTTGATTCTTTCTATAGAACCAAATAATAGATTTTGAGTCTTTCAACCACCCCACCACTACTTTTGAGTCTCCTTCCATCAGTAGCAATTCCATACCAAGCTGATTTGCAATTTGAACTCCTTGAACATCTACTAGTAATTCAGCCCTTATAGAATCTCCAACTCCCAGCAGACCCGAGTAAAAGGATAAAATATTCCCAACCTCATTTTTGAGGACCCCACCTATTCCTAACGGGCCTAGAATTAGATTACCAATACTACTTCCATCAAAGTTTAGCTTTACAAAGCCTTCAGGGGGAGGTGTCCAACTTTCCAAAATTCTATTCTTCTCTGGAAGATCAACTTGCCACAAATTTCTCCACAAATCATCAAAGAAAAATTGACCGAATAGTTCTGAAGTTTTTAACCATTGGATAGCCCTATTCATCACATGATCCTTTATCTCTTGTAGCCTTCTCTCTTCTTGGAAGATTCTTGCATTCCTTTCTTCCCATGTGGTCCACAATAAAGCTGGTCTATCACACCTCCACATGAACCTTCCTTTTTTTAGGCCAAGCAAAGGTAGAACAATCAAATAGCATGCCCTCTAGTGGCATATTCCACCTGCACCCAAATAAAAAGAAAAGCCAAGCCCATGATTCTGTAGTAACAGAACAAGAGATTAGTAAATGGTAGGAATCCTCATTGTTAGACCTACAAAGAATATACTAATTAGGTATGATACACAGGATATGTCATCTCTTTTTAAGTTATTAAAAGTGTTTACTTTCCCATAGAACACTTTCCAATAAAAAACACTAACTTTAGGAAGAACAAGCCTACAAACTTCCTTAACAGAGAAACACTGAGGAGGAGTTTTTTTTTTTTTGTTTTTTTTTGATCAGTAACAAGAAACTTTATTAATAATATGAAACTATGTGAAACTTTAAGTACAAAGGGGGGGAGGTAAAATGTCTTAACTCCCCACCAACAGAATACATTGGAAGAAAGTCAAAAGTTAGCCCAAAATATAGATTCCCTATTCACCCCTTGCTTGGCTAACCCGTCAGCAAATGAGTTAGCAGTCCTCTTCATCCAGCTGTAATGCAACACAATATCCCTACTCAGCTATTTGAATTTTTTCTTCTCATTGTTATAACTCCACAAACCACTGTTTTCTTCCTTTAGCCACCTAATCACCACCTCTGAGTCACCTTCAAGGACCAAACATCTGATGTTCAAATCTCTTGCTCTTTGGATACCTTCCAGGGCTGCAAGAATCTTAGCCCTAAGAGAGTCTCCTTCTCCAATTGGGCCTGAGAGCATGGCAGTGATAACCCCATCCTCATTCTTGAACACTCAATCCCAGAAGGCCCTGGATTCCTTAAGCAACTACCATCAAAATTCAGTTTTATGAACCTAGAGGGAGGAGGGGACCAAGAAGGACTACGAGTCCTCTTACATAGGGCAGAGGAAGCTATCTCTTTCCAATATCTTACCAAATCAGCCACAGAATAACCTGAGAATAGCTCCATAGTTTTCAGCCAGTGGGTACCCTTAAAAGTATTAGATCTAATAAGTTTTCTAGGGTTCTTTCCTTGTCTGAAAATATTTGTGAGTTTCTTTCTTCCCATAGGGACCAACACACTGCTGCCCTAATGCTTCTCTACATAATCTTCCCTCTCTTCTTCGGCCATCTGAAAAATGAAGAAGAGAACAAGCTTTGGACGCTCCCCGGGGGAATCCAAATACACCGAAAGAGGGAAAAAGCCCACTCCCATACTGTTTTAGCGACCGAACAAGTAACCATAGGGTGGTAATCAGTTTCTCCATCAGCTTTACAGAGAGTACACCTATTAGGAAGTAAACAAGAATTGGGTCTCTTTTTCTAAAGTAGGTCATTTGTGTTAATTCTTTCCAGGAAAGTTTCCCAACAAAAACTACCAACCCGAGGAGAACATTGAGGAGGAGATTGGCAAAGGAATTTAAAGAAAGAGAAACAAGAAAAGACCCTTTGGAAAGTAGAGACCAAACCCTTTTGTCTAGTTTTGAGGGATCCACACAAACCTTACTAAGGGTACTCAACAAATTGGGCAAGGAACCAATCTCCTCATCCCTTAACCCTCTATGGAAACCAAAATCCCGAGTTGGGTCCAAAGGATTTACCAAGGTGGAGATAAAATTGGACACGACCTCATTTTTATACAAAAAAGATGGAGTATAGGGAGGAAAAAGGGTCCTTTAAAGCACGATCCCCAATCCAATACCCTCCCAAAGCAGAACAAAATTCCTAGAACACACATCATACTTGACACACCTGAGAAACTGGGGAAGAATATTGTGAATTACCTTCCATGGTGTTACCAACATGACCCGATGAGAAACACCGACATCCCAACCACTCTCTAAACAACCATGAATACTTGCCACCACTTCACTCCACAAACTTCCTCTTTCCAAAAGCCACCTCCACAACCATTTTCCTAATAATGCTGCATTCTTTTATACCGTATTTCCTATTTCTGAACCCCCTTTTTATTTTTGCACACAATCTCCCACTTAATTAGATGGTCCTTCTTGCTTTCCCCTAGCTCCAAAGAAAATCTCTCATAAGTTTCTCTAATTTCTTGGATTCTTTAGGTGGGATCCTGAAGACAAAGGGAAAGTAGGTTGGCAAATTGGCAAGAGTAGCCCTAATCAATGTGGTACACCCTCCCAAGGAGATATAGTTCTTTTGGAAGGCCGGTCTCCCATTCACTTGAGATGGCGGTGGGAGATATGTTGGGTTCTGCAAGGCTGCAGGTGGAAGAAGAAGACTCCGGTTTGGTGGTTCAAGGAGGGACAAATGATTGTGAGAAGGGGTTGGGCGCTAGCCAACTCAACGGTTGGGGAAGAAAAGGGGAGGGTAGGTGGAAGGAAGAGAAAGTGGTTTATTGATTGTGGAGGGGGTGATAAGCAGGAGAGAATTTATAATAGGAGACTAGTGGGTATTGCTATGGCTGCTGAAGATGAGAGAGGGATTGAGGTAGGAGATTGGGAGAAGGGTCTAGAGGAAAAGAGTTGGGGCAGGAAGGAGGAGAAGAGGGGGAGTAAGGTAAAAGAAGAAAC